TTCTGACAGGTGGAAATCAAAGGAACCACAACCTCCTGCCTGGGAATGTAGCTGGCATGCAGGTGAAGTGTAAGTGAACTAGGCTTTATTATTGTATTATAGTAGATCTTCTATTAATTGTTTTTGCACTGCTTTGTGCTCTATTAATTGCTTTAGAATCTATAGAATTTAAGATTTAAATTGTATAGTCACTGTTTTTAAGGCTTGTTAAACTTAAACAACTATATTAACTGCTTAAAGCTTGTAATAAATAAGAAAGTGGTTAAGTCTCTCAGAAGTGTCCTGGTTTCTCTTGGATCTAAAATAAATCAAACCACACGACACTCGGTGCAGGGAGCCTGTTGTGTACAGTCTCCCACAACAGCAGGCCTAGCACAGCTCACCCGAACACACCACATGCACGTGAGGAGCAGCAGACTACTCAGAACAACTCCATAGCCATGCAGCCCACCCCACTGTGCCCCAAATACAAGCCCCCAACGGTGTCAGACACAGGATGTGCAGTCACCCCTTTCTTCCTACAGCTGCCAAGACCAGCTCCTCCAACCAAGGGAACATGCCCTGAATGCATTATGCATGGGAGAAGTCCCCTCCAAACCCTGCAGCAGTCAGCTGACACATCAGTCAGCTGCTTTTGTCTTAGCTCAGATATTATAGGTCATACATTAGCCTGCCTACGATTGACTGTCTTCGCTCCATTGGCAGCACGTGTCTCAGTGCCGAGAGACAGCAAATGCGTTCACAGGCCTGCCTGCTACAGAGACACTGGTCTAGACTGGCAGATCTTTGAGCCTTTGACAGGTGATCATGACAGGTTTGGCCACGAGGCTGTCAAGTGCCATCATTTCACCTGCCCCATAAGCACTGCCGTGCTGCTCCTGCCCTCTTCTTTGGAGCTGCCCCCAGCCCCAGGAGCCTCTTACTTGCTGTGCAGGGTACAGGAAGAAGAGAGGGGTGCTAATGCCACAGTGCCCCTCCATCCACCTTGTGTCCCATCTCCACAGAGCAGAGGGGCAGGGATGGAGAGTTTGCTGGCTGCTTTTGGGGGTGCTGCAGGGCCAGAGTAGGGGTAAGCCAGTCTTAGTCCCCTGCACCACCACCCAGAAGCCACCTGTGCCCAGCTGGAGCCTGCATTCCAAACCCCAGCCCCAGTCCTGAACTCCTCCTACACCCCAAGCACCGGCCCTAGCCCGGAGCTCCCTCCAGACCAAAATTCCCTCCCAGAGCCTGAACCTCCACCTGCACCTCAACTCCCAACCCAGGCACAGCTCAGAACCCCTCCCACACTCCAAATCCTTTAGCCCAAGATTAGAGTCCACGTCCCCCTCCCCCACACCCAGCTCTACTCCTTCCTCCCCCAGCCTGAGAAAAGTGAGTGAGGATGGGGGAAGGAGGGAGGATGAAGTGAACAGGGACAGGAAGGAGGGGGGCCAAGAGTGTTTGGCTTTGAGGGGGATACTGATTTGCATTTAAATGCAAAAAGTGATCTCAGGCTTACAAAGGCTGGAGATCACTGGTTTAAAGGGATATGCCAGCTAAAAATCCCGGGCAGCATTTCAAGCAAAATGCCTTTTCCTTGTAACTAGCAGCAGCATGGATTACAGCAAGGAAATCAACCAGTCGCTTCCTTTCCCCGCCTTCCACCCATTGCTGCCTCTATCAGAAAGGTGCCCCCAGGCTATAAGCAATATTTCAAAGCAGCAGTGCCACATGGAGCCTAGGATCAGCTGAGGATTCCCCCGCTAATGCCGGGCTCCACGTTGCATTGCTGCTTTGAAATGCCACGTGCTCTCTGACGCCGGGTTCCCCGCAGTGTTTCAAAAAGCAGTACCATATGGATCCCCAGCTGACCCCGGGCTCCACGGGGCACTTTTGCCTTTGAAGTGTAGCAACAGCCCTAGGGCTGTTGCTATACTTCAAAGGCGGAGGCACCCTATCAACTAATCAAATAGTTGATGGAAAATGCATTGACTGTTTGATTAGTCAATTACTCAATAGGTAACATCCTTAGGGAAAGCGTGTCTCCTACCTTCTTCCTACCAAGGCCCTCCAGCCCACTTCCTGCACTTGGGATCTCATCTTCTTATTTACTTCTACAATCAGCTGGTTCATAGACTTTCAGACCAGAAACAACTGTTCTGATCTTCTAGCCCAGTGGTCACCAACCAGTCGATCGGGATCTACTGGTAGATCTTGGAGCCTCTGACAGGTGATCTTGACTAGTTTGGCCAAAAGGCTATCAAGTGCGGGCACTTCAGCTGCCCTTCACCGTACAGCTGCTCACCTCCTGCCCTTTGCCTTGGAACGAGCCTTCTCTGGGAGCCTCCTGCTTGCGGTACAGAGCAGGGAAGGGAGAAGAGGGGTGCTGATGTCAGGGTGCCCCCCTCTCCTCCTGTATTCTATCTCCACATAGCAGAGAGGGGGCACAACAGGGCTTGGGATGAAGGGAGTTTGCTGGTTGCTTTTGACAGTGGGCCAGGGCAGGGGTAAGCCTGCATTAGCCTCACTGCACCACCACCCAGGAGCCACCTGAGGTAAGCAGTGTCCAGCTGAAGCTAGCGCCAATCCTCTGCCCCTGTTATGAACCCCCGCCTGTGCCCCAAACCCCTGCCCCAGGCTCAGTTCAGAGCCCCTCTCACACTCCAAATCACTTAGCCCAAGGCCAGTGCCTGCGCCCCAACCCTCTGCCCCTGCCTGATGAAAGGGAGGGAGAATAGGGGTGGAAGGAGGGAGGGAGGATGGAGTGAGCAGGGGCAGGGCCTCGGAGAAGGGGCACGAAGGAAGCGGGGCCAGGGTATTTGGGTGTGAGGTAGATCTTGGATTGCACTTAAAGTCAAAAAGTGATCTTGTGCCGAAAAAGGTTGGAGACCCCTCTTCTAGCCCAATCTGCATAGCATGCGCCAGAGAACATCATTCCCTGCTCTCGTGTCCAGCCCATATCACAGGATGGAGCTAAAAATCTTTTACAGACAATGTCTTAAAAACGTCTCGCACAGCAGAGACGTCTCACAGTGTCTGGCTGTGTTAAAACAGACTAACCTGAAGCTCTCTTTAACACGGGGTGGGGAGCCTCAGGCCCAGATGTGGTCCCCAGCTTGCCTGGATCCGGCCCCCAAGACTTAGGGATCCCCCCTGAATCGGGGAGCCCACGATGGTGCTCCAGCCCCCTTGCCACCCACAGGGATGGTGCACAGAAAATCTACTAGCCTGGGGCCCCTAGGCTCTGGTGTGGGAGGGGAATGTGAGGAGTGTGTTTTTCCTTCTCGCTCAGGACCTTTACATGTTGCTTCTCACTGGTGTGCAGCCCCCGACTGATTTTTCTGTGGGTCATTGGCCCCAATGCAAAAAAGGTTCCCCACCCCGCTCTAACGCAAGGTGATAGCTAGTGCTAGCACACCTGTTGCCATCATTGTTTCATGCCCAAAGCAGTTGTGTTTGGGATTCTAATGCAGCAAAGAGAAGTTTCAAATCCAAAACCCTGTTTCCATTTACATTAAAATAAAAACCAAGGAATCGCTTCTATAAAAAGAGAGGTGCCTATTAAAAGAAATCTTTTAAAAAAAACCACATCACCTTCAACTAAGGAAGATCTCCCCAAGCTGACCACATGTTTTCCCACTATTGTTTTTTCCGCTGGGATCTGGTTCTGCAATGTGCTTCATGAAGACGCAGGGGTGCATCTACACAGAGGTCACACCAGGATCAGGACCAAGTGGGCTACTCCACTGTAAGTCCAGCAACGTTCACAGAGGTGGGGCTACACCCTTCCAGCCCCCCATGGTAAGTTTGGCTCTGAACTTAAAATGTGACAAACCGCCAATACAGTGGTGCATTTAATGGGGCAGCTGCCTCCGGCAGAACTCACCATTCCAGGGAGGAGCCACCCATTTCTCTGTCTCCTTGGTGGGGTACATGACTGCACCTGCAAACTGCTGGGCATACTCGACATCCGGCTGCCATTGCTTGGCGCCTCTGGACGTGGAGAGAAGGAAAGGGGGTCAAACTGACAACTTCATTCAATCTGCCTGTCTCTAGTCTCAGACTCTGTAGGCTTTTAAAGGGGTTGTTGCCAGGCAAGTGGGGAAGGATGGGAAACAAAGGGGATTGAAAGTGAAACTGTGCCTTGTACGGGAGAGCTTGATCATGGGAAGCATGAGGTTTGGCAGCCCTGGAGCCTACTTCTCCCTAGTTTGGGGAGCAGCAGTACTAGCTTCAACACCTTGCTCCCTACCATCCACCCTCAAGCCTGATCGAGTGGGGCTCGTCTAAGGACGAAGGGAGTTCAGGTGTAATAGCCCCATCAATCCCTCTCTGCCAAAGGGTCCGTTAGCGTCCATGTGGTGGTGACTTTTGCAATGGACAGTCATGCACTGTGAGCAAGACAGCCACTCATCTAGTTTCCAAAACCACCAAAGCCCAGACTTATGCTGGCAGGATTCAAACTGGTATCCTTGGAGAGCAAGGCTTCATTCAAAGTGTCTGAGCTAGCTAGTCCCCAGATCAATGGCCATTAGCAAGGACATCTGAGGGATGCCCAATGTACAGTATGCCCACTCTGGCACAAGGGCACCACCTACATCTGGCCCCACAAGGCAGGGGGTTGTATGACAGCCCCCCCACCCCACCCCCGGAGCCACCCAGTGATGGGAACTAGTCAGGCACATGGGCTACACTCAACATCTACAGCCAATTTGGTTTCTGCAGGAGGTAAGTTTCCGGGGCCTGCTCACTGCCGCAAGAGTAATAATGGAACAGCCTCATGGCATGCGCTGGGATCTCTGGGTGTCTGGCTGGTGAGTCTTGCCCACATGCTCAGGGTTTAGCTGATCGCCATATTTGGGGTCGGGAAGGAATTTTCCTCCAGGGTAGATTGGCAGAGACCCTGGAGGATTTTTGCCTTCCTCTGTAGCATGGGGCACAGATCACAGCTGGAGGATTCTCTGCATCTTGGGGCCATCAAAGTATTTGAAGGCTTCAATATCTGAGATATAGGTGAGAGGATTATTCTAGGAGGGGTGGGTGAGATTCTGTGGCCTGCACTGTGCAGGGGATCAGACTAGATGATCATAATGGTCCCTTCTGACCTTAAAGTCTATGAGAGGGGGGGGAAAATAGGCCTCTCAGGTGGGTTGGTAATACCTTGGGGGAGGGGGGAAGGTTCCCCAGGGAGCGCAGGGGATGACAATGCTCAGGAGGCACAAGAATGACCCCCAAGAAAATGGGAGGTCTCAAGAGGCAAGGGAGAGGTACCAAAGAAGTGGAGGAAGGTTTATCTGGGGAGGGCGGGGAACGTCCCACGGAAGACGGGGACCCGAAAGGGGGAGAGAACAATGCCCAGGAGATTGGGAAGAGACACCCCGCAGGACACAGGATCCCTGGGGGACAGGGGCAGACCCGGGGGAGGTGCAGGGAGGGGGGACGGGAGGACAAGAGGAGGGATCCCAGGATCCTAGGGGGAGACGGGAACGGTGCTGGGGGGCAGAAGATGGA